GCAGGGCTTCTGGAGATAATCGTAAGCCTCTTGGCGTGGCGTGATGGGGGGGAGACGGTGCCGGCCATGATGTCCACCCCCGCCCACGCCCTCGCAACCGGATGGGGGAACAGCAATAGCAATTGGCCGTATTTGGAATGGGGTGGGGATGGAGGGTTAATGGGGGGAGGGGATAGGGGGGGGGGTAGGGGGGAAGGGGAAGGGGGGGGAGGACGAGGCATGTACGCTTACTCCTCCATTCATCCTTATTCTTGCTGTCTCGTTTCTCCCATTTTCCTACTCGGTCTTTTCTCTCTTCTGTCTGTCCTGTCCTGTCTCTGTCTGTCTGTCTCTCTCTCTCCTCTGTCTGTCTTTCTCTGTCTGTCTGTGTCTGTCTCTGTCTCTCTCTCTCTCTCTCTCTCTCTCTCTCTCTCTCTCTCTCTCTCTCTCTCTCATCTCTCTCTCTCTCTCTCTCTCTCTCTCTCTCTCTCTCTCCTCGTTCTCTCTCTCTCTCTCTCTCTCTCTCCTCTCTCTCTCTCTCTTTTTCCTTCATCTTCTCCCTCTCTCTTAATGTATATCATCATCATCATCATCATCAGTTCATCGTCATCACATCATCATCACCATCACCCATTCATCAATCATCATCACCATCACCATCACCACCAACCATCTTTATCATCACCATCACCACCACCATCTTTATCATCTTCAAAACTCGCAAGTCGTAAGATACAATATTCAAATTTACCGAGTCACTTCAGCTGTGACATCACAACTGTAACGGCGACATCAGCTGTTGAAAAAGAAACCGTGAGATGCCCGAGTCAACTTAGGGGATGTAAAGAGAGGAGAGAGAGACAGAGGGAGGGAGGGAGGAGAGGGAGGGAGGGAGGAGGAGAGAGGGAGGAGGGAGGGAGGAAAGAGAGAGAGAGAGAGAGAGGGAGAGGGAGAGGGAGAGGAGAGGGGAGGGAAGAGCGAGGAGAGAGAAAGAGAGAAAAGAGAGGGAAGAGAGATGGAGGGAGAAGAGAGAGAGAGGAGAGAGAGAGAGAGAGAGAGAAGAGAGAGAGAGAGGAGAGAGGGAAGAGAGAGAGAGAGAAGATGGAGAGAGGAGGGACGGAGAGGGAGGGAGGGAGGAGAGGGAGGAGGAGAGAGAGGGAAGGAGTGAGAGAGAGACGGGAGGGAGGGAGGAGAGGGAGGACGAGAAGGAAGGACGGAGAGGAAGACGAGAAGGAAGGACGGAGAGGAGGAAGAGCGAGAGCGAGGAGGAGAGGAGAGAGAGAGAGAGAGAGAGAGAGAGAGAGAGAGAGAGAAGAGAGAGAGAAGGAGAGAGAGAGAGAGAGAAGGTGAGACGCAATTAGTCACCAGTTTATTCCCTCCCTGGCTTGTTCTCCTTGACGGCCTCCTACACAAACACACGCACAAAGCCGACACAAACACGCACACGGACGCACACATGGACGGACACACGGACGCACATCGAGACCCACCACACAGTAGTACTTGCAACAAATATAAATGGATGATGATAATGATTAACTACGATTTTAATTGATGATTTAGAAATTCGAAACGACTAGGAATTGCTGGTGAAAGGAGACCAAGAAAGTGAGATATAGAGTACAAAAAATAAAGATATGAATGGGAAAAATCGACGTTATTTATTTTCATATTGAATGACGTCATCTTTGAAAACTATGGGTTGTTTTGACTTTTTTTTATTGTATTTTGTTTTAAGTTTCTCTTCGCATGTTCTCACTTTCATGTTCTCCAAAGGTTGGCTAATAATTTTTATTTATATAAGATCGAGTTTCCCTCATTCCACTCTGCTTCTCTCATATCGTCTTATTGATTTCGTAAGTTCATTTTCTGTAGGTTTTATATAGATAATAATAGTATTAAAATGATAGATAAGACCACAGATTCTGTATGATAGATAGAGTGATAGAATAGACTAGATAGATAATAAAAGACAGTAGATAGATAATTTTGGCATACAGAGACCACCACGCTAGAAAAAGGGATTATATTTCTCTTTTTTTTTAAGAAAAAAAAACAAAAAGATTCGCTCTAACGGAGAAGAGGATCCTGCTAGTAGAGTGTTCTTTGAAATCTTTCGCTGTGCATTTCTTCCGTTTTCTCTTTCTTTTTTATTACTTGGCGTAAGCTGTGTATAAACTTCCCGAAATTCAGAAATTTGGATGCGTCGGCAGACTAAAAAACAAAACATTGCTGTATGCACTTTGGTGAACTCTGAGTTGCCTCCTTGCTGTTTTGCCTTGTCTCTCTCTCTCTCTCTGCTCTCGTCTGTCTGTCCTGCTCTCTCTCTTCGCTGTCTGTCTGTCTCTTGTCTGTCTCTTCTCTCTCTTTTCTCCTGGCTGTATGTCTGTTGTCTTTCTCTCTCTTTCTCTGACTGTTCTTTTTCATTGTCTCGCATTTCTCTTGTCGTTGCTGTTTGTCTTTCTCCTCCCTCCCTCAGCCTCCTCTCTCTCTCTCTGCTCTATCTCTCTCCCCTCCCTCT